CCACACTCTTACCCACACCATTAATGCTGTAGTCAACATCTTCAGCTGTCAAGATACTGAAACTGTATTTGTTCAGGCCTTCAGGGACACATAGCAACTCTTTTAATGCACTTACCAGATACAGAGAGAGGGAAAGTAAGAAAACACCCTCCAGGGGAGATGGCCAAGTCACAATCCCTTCTCCTCCATTCTCCTCTCAGGAGTTTGGGCATTCACACACATGTGCCTGGAGTGATTTTCAAGCGACCGATCTGGGACTGAAATCACATAGCCGCGTGTGTGTGGAATCCAGCACCTTACCCTCCACGCCACCTGCTGCCCCCATAGCAACTCCTTAACTAGAAGAAGGACAGATGGTGTCCTGACTACATACTGAAAACTCTTATGAGTCTTCTCAAAATTATGAACACTTGCTGAGAACCATTTGTGAGTCACATGAACGTTTTGTGGTTTTAAAAGTCAAAAAATTGCCCAGGAGGAATTAAGAAAACTTAGTTGTGGAACTAATTTCTCTTTGGAGAGAGGTTTGTCCTACCTCAAGTGATAAAGGAACTCCTAAAGGAACTCCTAGACTAAACTGAAGTCGTTCTTCACAGGAGGCAAGATTATGCAAACTTCCCAAGGGGCCGTGAATATAAACATAGCCTGGACCCGGTGACTTAAAACTCACGCCGGGTGCGTGTGCATGCGTGCCCAAGATCCCAGGAGGAGAATGGAGGAGAAGGGATTGCGGTGTGGCCATCCTTCCTGGGGGGTGATTTCTCGCTTTCTGTCTCTCTGTCTCTGTCTGGTGAGCGCATGCACCCTATAGCAAAAACCTCTAAAAAAATAAAATTAATTAATTAATTAATTAATTAAAATAAAAAAGAGAAAAAAAAAAAGAATAGCAGTCAAAATAAAATGTAAAGCAAAACTAAAACTAAAGACTGCTATTTCACAATAGGCTCAATTCCCCAGCAAGATAATTTTACATTTCTGTGCATTAACGTAATGTCAAAAGTTGTAAAGTAGAAAGTGACAACGAAATGAAGGTAAATGCATTCTACAATCAGAAGGTTATTTTAAACATCCCTCTTTATGATTGGTGAAACAATAGATAAAGATATAAAGTATTTGGATGACAAATTAAAAAGAAAGGTTTGGTCCTAACCTGCATAGGGAAAACATTGAAGAAAATGCATTTGTTTTGTTGCCAAAGAATACCTGTATTCACCAAAGAGAGACAGAGAGAGAGAAAAAGAAAGCATCCCCAATGGGGCGTGGTCGCACCACAATCCCTTCTCCATTTCTCCAGTGCCCAGTGTTTTTTAAACCACTGGCACTGGGACTCAAACTGCATAGTCAGCCAAGTGGAATCTGGTTCCTTTAACCGCTATGCTATGGGCCCAGCCCCCAAATACATTATTTTCTTTAAAATAAAAAAATTACTTAAATTTAATATTAGCTATAGGGCACGTACACTCAGAGAGAGAGACAGCAAGTCGCCTAGTCCGGGACTCAAACTGCAGTAGGCCATGTGGGAATCCAGTTCCCTAACCACCACGCCACCTGCTGGCCCCCCAAATACATTCTTTTCAAACAAGTAGGAACATTTATGGTAAGCCATAAAGCAAGTCTTACTAGATTTGAATAGACTGAAATCATTCAGAATACATTATCTGACTACAACTAAGCTAGCAATCGATAACAGAAAGATAGAAAATCCCCAACTGGTTGGAATTGAAGGCATATTTTCCTAAATATTCCATAGGTCTAAGAAGGTATCATAATGGAAATTAGAAAATATTTTCAACCAGGCAATAACGAAAATATCACATTTCATAACATGTAAATGACACTAAAACAGATTTAGAGGTAAATACTGACATATTGCTTTCAATATATATACTATAGAAACAGAAAGTCTAAAAGTTAATAAGCTCAATATTCATCTCAAGATGTTTAAAGGTATAAGAAAGTGAGGACTAGTCAGTGGCATGGTGATCAAAGCAGCTGGATCCCACATGGCTGACTGCAGTTCAAGTCCTATACCCAGTAGATTAAAAAACACACCAAGCATGTGTGTGAACATGCCTATATGAAAGTAGATTTGAATTAAGTAAAAACAAGGAAAGGCATTAATACCATGTAACATGAATTTTAAATACAGAGAACTAACAAAGACATTTTTGAGGCAAGTAAAATAGAAAAACCTCAGTCACACTTAATAAAGGAGAAGAGGAGGCACATAAAAGTATTAGGTTGTTGGCAAAGTCATGACACATTATTGCATAGAAATACACAGAAAAATCGACCATAGCTTTCCTATTAACCTAATCACATTGGGGTAAGAAAGGAGGCATTACTATAGATACTATGGATGCTAGAACAATAAGACTATTATTAATAGCTTTCTGGCCACATTTTAAAATGAAAAAAAAAAGGTAAATTTCTAGAAAAAAAGTATTACTCAGCATAAAACAGATCCATGAAGTAGAAAACTGAATTAGTCCTGCAGCATTAAAGAAATTGAATTACAAAGTCTAGTAGGGGAAGAATTATAACACAAATGAATGACTAACCCTCACAAGTATAACAAAAGTACACAGCAGTTATTTTCTGGGTTGTTGTGACCACACTCTTACCCACACCATTAATGCTGTAGTCAACATCTTCAGCTGTCAAGATACTGAAACTGTATTTGTTCAGGCCTTCAGGGACACATAGCAACTCTTTTAATGCACTTACCAGATACAGAGAGAGGGAAAGTAAGAAAACACCCTCCAGGGGAGATGGCCAAGTCACAATCCCTTCTCCTCCATTCTCCTCTCAGGAGTTTGGGCATTCACACACATGTGCCTGGAGTGATTTTCAAGCGACCGATCTGGGACTGAAATCACATAGCCGCGTGTGTGTGGAATCCAGCACCTTACCCTCCACGCCACCTGCTGCCCCCATAGCAACTCCTTAACTAGAAGAAGGACAGATGGTGTCCTGACTACATACTGAAAACTCTTATGAGTCTTCTCAAAATTATGAACACTTGCTGAGAACCATTTGTGAGTCACATGAACGTTTTGTGGTTTTAAAAGTCAAAAAATTGCCCAGGAGGAATTAAGAAAACTTAGTTGTGGAACTAATTTCTCTTTGGAGAGAGGTTTGTCCTACCTCAAGTGATAAAGGAACTCCTAAAGGAACTCCTAGACTAAACTGAAGTCGTTCTTCACAGGAGGCAAGATTATGCAAACTTCCCAAGGGGCCGTGAATATAAACATAGTAGCAAGATCCTGGTTTTCTGAAAAGGAGTTCAGTTCACTGAATTATTTACTTATGAAAGGAAGAGTTCGGAGTTGCTTCCTCAGACGTTCGGGATGTATTAGACAGCACACCGGTGATCTATGCTGCTCTGTCCTTCTGCAGTCAGTTCTCATAAATAGTCTGAGGGAAAGAAAGGAACTTGGCTGGACTGCTAATGTGAAGTCAGGGGACCCTCTGTATGATAGAATTTATGGGTGAAAATGAAAGTGACATCAAAGAAGCAGTCACAAATGTGAAAAACTGTAGAGCTGGCACCATGGCCTAGTGGTTCAGGGAACCAGATCCCACATGGCTAACTACAGTTCAGATCCTGGGCCCAGGAACTTGAAAAATGCACAGGGAGCATGTATGTGTGCCTAGAATCCCGACAGGATAGAGAATGGGAGAAGGCATTGTGACATAACCGTGCCCCCGAGATGGCAGTGCAGCCACGGCCCACTGGGAGGTGCTTTCTTCCTCTCCCTCTCTCTGTTTCTGTCTGGCAAGCACATGTGCCTTCTGGCAATGAAAAAAGTTGAAATTCTAACAATCCAGAAAGCATGGCGATCAGGCTTAGCTTAGATGCACCCTTCCCACCATGAGGATGACCACCATTTGGTTGTGTTTCTTACCAAGAATTCTTAGCCAACCATGGCATTTGACACTTGAGTGGGCTACCTCTTGCCCATGAGTCTGGGCCTCTTCTTTTCTTTGGTGCTGTGTCCACACTGAATGAAGCATTTGAGAATTACTTTGAAAATATTTTTGGTTAGGGGCCAGCAGGTGATGTAGTGGTTAAAGCTCTGGACTCCCACATGGATGACCACAGTTCAAGTCCCAGACCTGGCAGCTTGAAAATCATGTGAGGCACTTGTGAGTGCCCAAAATCCTAGAGGAGAATGGAAGAGAAGGGATTGTGGTGTGGCCACCCCCCAGGGAAATGATTTCTCCCTTTCTTCCTCTCTCCCTCTGTCTGTCTCTCACTGGTGAGTATGCATGCCCTATGGTAAAAACCTTAAATATATATGTATGTATATTTTAAAGGATTATTTATTTTTATTTATTATTGTCACTGTTATATATATTTTTTAATTTGGTATATGATATGTGCACTCATTAGAGAGAAAAACAAAGAGAGAGAGAGAGAGAGAGAGAGAAAGTGAGAAAGCAAGCTGCCAGGTCCAGGCCTACTCAAACCCATGTGGGAGTCCAGCACCCCAACCATCACACCACCTGCTGACGTGTATATATATATGTATATATACTTTTGTTGTTGTTATTGGACAACCTTTACCTCAACAAGCCTTTTGTCATTGACTGTATACACAAGGGTCTTCAAAAAGTTTATGGATAATGCACATTATGAAAAAAAAAAAAACACATGGATTTCAAAACTCTTTTGCACCCAAACTCGTACTTTAATTCCGTTTTCCATGAATTTGTTGAAATTTGCTTGCATGTGACAGGTAAATTGTTTATTTTGAGTCTGTGATCATGCTGCAAAGTGTTCTCATCTCATTTACTTAAATATCCTAAGTAAACGGAAGCCCAGGTTTGCTGCCAGGTGATAACAACTGCCATGCCTCGTCCCTCTGCACAGTAGCAGGGCTTTAATGGAACATATGTCTGCTCCATGAAAGACAGATGCGCGTCTTGCTCCCTCTCCTTCCTGCACCCAGATGCATGCTCTTGCTGATTCATTCATTGTTGTAAAATCTGTACAGGAAAGAAAAAATCCAAATTCAAAACTTTTAAGAAATTCTTTGGGAAGAAGAAGAGAAAGGAATCGCCATCGTCCACAGGAAGCAGTGCCTGGAAACAAAATCCCGCGAAGAGTGAGGTCATCGCCATCGAGTCAGGACCTGTGGGCTATGACTCCGAGGATGAACTTGAGTAAGTTCCACTTTACACCCATCAGCAGTGTGGGCCCCAACACAACGGAGGGGGCATCTGGGCCCATGAGGACCAAATATTCTATTTCATATATATATATATTTTTTTTTACTGTGTTACTGTGTATCATTACAGCATAGCAAATGAATTTTCTCATCATTAATTATCAGATATATTATTCACAGATTTAGAAAAAACAATCATAGAATTTGTCTGGAATCATAAAAGACCCCACATTGCCAAAGCAATGCTACGTAAGAAGAGTGGAGTAGGAAGCATCTCACTCCCTGACTCCATAATATATTACAAAGCTGTGATCATCAAAACAGCATGGTATTGACATTAAAACAAACATGTAGACCAGTGGAACAGAATAGAGACCCCAGAAATAAACACCAAAACATACAGCCACCGATTTTTTTAAAGAATTATTTTATTGGGGCCAGCAGGTGGCATGGTGGTTAAAGGCGCTGGATTCCCACATGGCCGACCATGGCTCAAGTCCTGGACCTGGTGGCTTGGTTTCTCACTTTCCCTCTCTCTGTCTCTCCTTGACCAAACTGGAAAATAATAATAAATAAAATTAAATAATTTGAAAAAAGAATTATTTTATTGAACTTTATTTATCCATTTATTTATTTATCTTAATTTGACCAGAGAGGGATAGAGTTACAGAGAGAGAGAGAGAGAAAGTGAGAAAGCAAGTTGTCAGGTCTGGGACTCGAACTGTAGTCGACCATGTGGGAGTCCAGCACCTTAAATGCCATGCCACCTGCTGGCCCCACCAACTGATTTTTGACAAAGGGCACCATACAATATAGTGGGGAAAAGAAAATCTCTTTAGCAAATGGTGCCAGAAAAACTGAGTATCCACCTGCAAAAAGATGAAACTAGATCCCCGTCTCTACCACTAACAAAAATCAACTCAAAAGGGATCAAAGATCTAAACCTAAGACTTCAAATTATAAAACTACTGGTAGAAAACACAGGGGAAACTCTTGGGGACATCAGAGTAAGCAAAGACTTCTTTAAAAAGACCCCCAAAGCTCAGACAATAATCCCCAAAATAGACAAGTGGGATTATGTTAGGTTTAAAAAGCTTCTGCACAGGGTCCAGCAGTTAGCATAATGGCTATGTCACTGGACTCCCATGTAGTCGACCACGGTTGGAGTCCCAGACCCGGTAGCTTAAAACTCATGCTGGGTGTGTTTGAGTGAGTGCCCAAGATCCCGAGAGGAGAACGGAGGAAAAGGGATTGTGGTGTGGCCATCACCCCTGGGGGGGTGATTTCTTGCTTTCTGTCTCTCAGTCTCTCTCTGGCTGGCCGGCGAGCGCACGTGCCCTATAGCAAAAACCTCTCAAAAAAAAAGCTTCTGCACAGCAAAAGAAACTATTTCATGATTTTAACTTGCTGGATTTCTGAGTCTCCCAGCTCTTGGGGGATTCCACTAGAAGTTTTCCATACAAATTGTGATTTCTAAAATTTTTTCAAACATAGGGATGGAAAAAGCTGGGGAGAACATGATTAGTTAGCTGCCGTGTAGACTGAAAGTCCACACTAACTCTGAAAGCGCAGTCCGCTACGTCATAGATAAGTAAAAGGAGCCTTAGAGAAAGGCTAGAACTTGCCCAGTATCCTACAGCTGAAAGTGGGAGGACCAGGGTGTGGGCATTGGTTTCATTTGACTTAGTAACTCTTGAAGGGCTCAGCTGCAGAAATGCAGGCTGGATGCTGGTGCTTGGAAGGCTGAGGTCACATGGAAGGCCCAGGTTCTGTTCCCTGCCCTCCTGAAAAGCTAGGTGGGGTGGTATGGCCTGTAATCCCAGCTACTTGGAAAACTGAGGCAGGAGGATTAAGACTTAGCAAGACCCTGTCTAAACAACCCCTCCACCCCCAGCACACACACAAATTCTTGAGGACCTGGATACTACACTAGAAAAATACATTTCTCTAATCCTGACTACTGAGTAATCTAACATTTCTACTAAATAGAGAGAAGGAAAACAGGTTTCTTGCTATTCAGGCTTAGAAAAGACATCCAAAAATATTAGGGAGAATAGACTGAGTAAGTATAAAACTCTAGGAATGTCTATAAAGAAATCCTTGTTTTTGTAACTTGTATTTCATCAAAATGTATATTCCGGTTATTTCAGAATATGGGGATGTGGGCATTTAGTTATTTCTATAACTAAAAGGAAAAGAGATGTGTTGCTAAGCCTGCTTTTATGTGTTCTTTTAAGCAACATAGGCCCTTTGGTTTTATGATGAAACTTCAGGAAACATAATATCACTCGGGTTTGGGGAACAGACTCCCCATGATGGGGTCCCCGCTGTGAGCATCCCCATGCGGTGTCTCATCCCTACCCTTCCCCCTCATCCTCACCAACCTTTTTTTACATGTTTTAAAGGAATAGAAATTACACTGACCACTTGGTGGCACCAAATAACTAAATAACTACAGAGAAAAGATTAGGTTTTTTTTTTTTTTTTTTTTTTTTTTTTCCAGTTTGTTTTCTTCTTGATGCTAGCTGGGAGCAGGATAGACTCACATTTCACCTCATGAAGCATGCAGGAATGGGCCAAGCACACATTTGTTACACATCATGCTCTGGACCCGTGGGGAGCAAGACATTGTGATGATGTCATTGGGCCTGCCCCAGGGAAACCATAAAACCACCCCCTCCCGTATGTCTCTTGACCAGAGCACAGAATTCCTGTGTTCAGGAGACTGGCCAGGAGCAGGCCCCCAGCCACTGAGAGAAATGCAGCCCGACTGTGAGAACCCTTCCTTGTCTACACCCTCCTTTCCCAGGAGCCCACGGAACGCAGGGACAGTGTCCTTGTTATTACTGTATTCTCAGCACCTTGCAGGAAGCTGGTCCCCAATTCCGGGCAGCTGTTTGCCTGAGTTGATGCTGGGAAAGGAAGATTGGGGCTGGGGTTTAACGGGGCTCAGGAAGTGCAAATGGCTTTTTCAGAGAGTGGGCAGAGGAAGAGCCCAGATCATAAAAGACTCTCCAGCCTCCGCAGCAACCTCTCGTCCATCACTGTGGGCAGAGACAGGTCCATTTGCAAGGCACGTGTGTGCTGGCAAACCACACGGGGCTCGTGGGTTTTCAGAGCTGATGCCGTGGCCATTTGTCCCGTGTCTGTCCGTGCAGCTCTGCTTCTTTAATCTCTCCATCTGTGACACTTTCCCCTGGCCTGCCTCTTCACGTCCTCGTGACACTGATCTGATGGAAGGGCAGAGTTATTTGCCCAGGGCGTGCCCCATACCCTAGATTTACTTTGTCTCGGTGTGATGGGACTTGTTCCTGTGTTCTGTTACTTTCTTGTAAACTCTCAGATGGATCTAGAAGTTCAGCTAGGTTTAGCTTTCTGGTTGTCCCACATCTGGTGACACTAAAACAGCCCTGGGCTCAGGGGTTTCGGTGTGCTCCCACCGACCTTCACCTGACAGTCTTAGCATTGCTGAGGAGTCTGCACCCTGTCTCCCCATTATGTTTATTGCAGAATGGTGGCTCTTCTGATTCTGTCCTTTGGTTTACATTGGATAGTCAGAATTCTAGAAAGATCTTTACTCCTTCAGTTCCTTGGTTGCTCTGAAATACAATTTGTACAGGAAAGTCAGGATAATGGTTGGTTCTTCTTTTGGTTCACCCTCCAAGTAATTACCTGGTACCCTCCAACTCCACACACACACACACACACACACACACACACACACAGATACCACACACACACACACACATAGATACCACACACACACATATACACATAGATACCATACACACACACACACACACATATACACAGAGACCATATACACACACCCACACACATACACACGCATACACATAGATACCATATACACACACTCACACACGTACACACACATACACATTGATACCATATACACACGCTCATACACACACATATAGATACCATACACACACATACACATAGATACCATATACACACACACATATACACACAGAGACCATATACACACACACACACGTACACATGCGTATACACATAGATACCATATACACACACTCACACGTACACACACATATACACATTGATACCATATACGCACAACTCATACACACACATATAGATACCATACACACACGTACACATAGATACCATATACACACACACATACACACACACATAGATACCACATACACACACACACAAACACATATAGATACAGATACCATGCACACACACACACACACGTAGATACCATATACATACACCCACACGTACACGATACCATGTGCACACACCCACACACATATAGATATAGATACCATAGACACACATACACACACACTCCATATATTAGGTTGTCAAAAAAATTATAACGCAAATTTTTGCATAGAAAAATAGAAAAATGTATCATGACTTTTCTGACAACCACACACACATACACAAACATATATATACCATTTATTTGCTTTAATCCATAACAATGTGTATTCTTTTTTTTTTTTAAACGTTTTCCAGAACTCGAACCGCAGTCGTTAGCCATGTAGGAATCCAGCACCTTAACCTTCACGCCACCTGCCGGCACAGTGTGTATTCATTTTAATGCTCAAAATGTCCTGCTAAGAGTCAAGAGTCACTTCATATTAGCTCCTTTTTTTTTTAAAGAATTGTTTTGATTTTGTTTATTCATTCATTCTATTTTAATTTTACCAGAGAGAGACACAGAGAGAGAGAGTGAGAGAAAGAAAGTGTGTGTGAGAGACAGAGAGAGAGAGAGAGAGAGTGAGAAAGCAAGCCACCACGTCCAGGACTTGAACCATGGTCAGCCATGTAGGAGTGCCTGGCACTTTAACCACCACGCCACCTGCTGGTCCCTAGCTCCAGTTTTGTTGTTGTTGTTGTTGTTGTTTTTCCCCTAATTGCTAGAGGGCACCTGCACTCATCAGAGAAAGGGAGGAAGAAAACAGCCCCAGTGGAGTGCGGTCATGCCACAATCCCTTCTCCATCTCTCCAGCCGGCAGGATTTGGGGCAGGCGTGCACACATGCTCAGCATGTTTATCAAGCTACTGGGGCCAGGACTTACACCTTAACTGATCACGTGGGATCAGGCTCCCTGCGCACGGGGCTTGACTGCTGGGTTGCAGGGCCACCCCAGGCTCTTGGTTCTTTTGACATAGCTTCATTTGTCATTGAAAGCTTCCTTGCCTTCCTGCATGATGAGAAGACCCAGGTTTGTGTTGCTTATTTCTGGTCCTGAACCTGGAATCTGCTGCTTCTTCACAGGCCCTGGTGTCTTCCTCTCAGTGAGAATCCTGTCAGAGACTGCAGCCTGCCTCTTGGCAGCAATAATTGTTAGCTGGCTGTTACCTATTCTAGATTTTTCCTGTGGATATAGCTAGGAAATTGTTTTGTTTTTTTAAAGAATTATTTTATTTAACTTTATTTATTTTGATTTGATCAGAGAGGGACAGAGTGAGAGATAGAAAGAGAAAGTGAGAAAGAAAGCCACTAGGTCCAGGACTCGAACCATAGTCAGCTATGTGGAAGTTAGCACCCTTAACCACCATGCCACCTGCTGACCCCAATAGTTTTATTTTTTAAGAAAAGAAAAAAAAAAAAAAACATTAATTCACTGACATTTCCAACTTAAATTTATTAAGACAAAATTATTACTGCTTTGATTCTGTGTACTCTCTTTTCTCTTTTGTTAGAAATCTTAGCTCCTAATGATATAAACAAAAGTACTTATCTTTTTTCATCTTAGAAAATGTACAGATATTCCAGTTAATTGGAAAAGGATGCAACTCTGAGATTTGCAGTTCTCATTTTAAACCGCTGTTGAACCACCTTGGGAGGATGCCTCTGTTAGGGAGGCCTTCAGCTCGCTGGGCAAACAGCCTCCATCTCACCAAGGGGCTGCATGTTTGCCCAGCGGGCGTGACCTCACCCTCCCCTGGGCATCCACAGCCCACTTTCACAGAAGCCAGCTGGTGCCAGCCCTTCTCTTCTGCAGTCTTGCTGTCTTGAACTTCACACCTCATCCGACTTTAATTTTTCCGTTAATAAAAATAATTCACACATTGGGGCTAGCAGGTGGTTAGTGGTTTAAGGTGCCGGACTCCCATTAGTCAACTGTGGTTCAATTCCTAGACCTGGCAGCTTAAAACATCAGGCACACGTGCATGCATACCCAAATCCCTGAGAATGGAGGAAAAGGGATTACAGCGTGGCCATCTCCCCAGAGGGTGATTTCTCCCTTTCTGTTTCTGTCCCTCTGTCTTTCTGGAAAGCGCATGCACCCTATAGCAAAAATCTCTCTCAAAAAAAAAGAAAAAAAGGAATTCACACAACCTTCGGATCTCTTGGTAGAATTTCCGTCTCCATAGTGCCTCTGATAGTTGATAGTGGTATTTCACGACGTCAGGATAAGCTGAAATCAGGGACAACTAAAAACTTAATGCAGCAGGGGGTGGTGTGGTGTGCTGTGGGACCACACCCCTTTTTCATGCCGAGGACCCCAGGGAACAGCAGGAAACGGCGGTGGGCAGAGTCTCACGGCACCTCTTCTATTCTAGGGAGTCAAGGGGCACACTGGGCAGTCGGGCCCTCTCACACGACAGCATTTTCATTCCTGAGTCCGGACAAGACCCTCCTCGGCCTGTGCGGGTGTTTTCCCAAGAAAATGTGTGTGACCGGATTAAAGCTCTGCAGGTAACATGTCCTCGGTGGTGTCACTTGATGTGTGTGTCAGATATCAATCGAGAAGTTTGTAAACGCATCTGCTTGGTTTATCTGCAATTTTACTTTGTTCCGTTTTTTATCTAGAGCGTGTGTGCTCACGAGAGACACAGAGGGAGGAAAGTGGGAAATCACCCCCCTCAGGGGGGGTTGGCCGTGCCACAGACCCTTCTCCAGTCTTCTCTCGGGATTTTAGGCATGCACACACACTTGCCTGGCATGATTTTCAAGCCTCCAGGTCCAGAGCTTGAACCACACAGCTAGCCATGAGGGATCCAGCGCCTTAACCTCCATGCTACCTGCTGGCCCTATTTGAGATATTTTAAAGGAGATTCGCACACACATCACAACTCTTGCAAGCCACACCACTTTAGTTACAAGTCACAGCCTAGACGGTAGGAAGGCAGCTGGGGGTGGATGCTGTTGCAGTTCAAGTCAGAACGCCGTGTGAGAGCTTTGAAGGTAGTTCCCAAATGCACGCATTGGAAGGATTTGTTGGCGAATGTCATTGATGAGAATCAGAGCAATGATAAATGTCATGGATGAGAATAAGAGCAAATGTTCTTTGTTGATAAATGCCATTGATAAAAATAGGAGCAAATCTTCTTTATTCCCATCTAGTTAAAAATTCAGTGTAATGTGAAAATGGGACCACCACCTCCTCCAGGGGAGCTTCCTGCCAAGCGGGGAGAGGATGCCGGCATGAGTTCTGAGGACGATGGGCTTCCCAGGAGCCCCCCCGAGATGTCCCTGCTGCACGACATTGGTCCTGGCACGACCATAAAGGTACAAGCAGCCTGTCCCACAGCTCAGCTCCATCCACACCGGCCATGGCGGGCAACTGGGGCTCTGGACACCCTGGGAGCTCCCTGAAGAGCTCCATGAGTGGGCAAGGCTGTGGGGTGGCAGTGGCAGACCAGGGCACCGGAGCCTACAGTCGGCCTTTGGGCTGTATTTAGTTTTACTGTTGAGCAGAAATTCAGGTCTGATTAGGGAGTGTGGTTTGGGTGACTTTTGGCGATGGTGATAGGTTTGATAAGTCCAACGCTGTACCTCATCTTTCCTGTCTGAGCAGACCCAGAATCTCATTGAAAAGAAGGGAGACATGTCTGTGTCTGTTTTCTGTTGCCATGGCATTTGGCCAGAGGGGAAATGGTATCGGAAGCATGTAACCGTCTAGGCTCTTGTGCCCGAGTCTTAGGGCAGCCACACTTTGTTGGTTTAGGGGTACGTGTGTGAGGCACGTGCTGGCAACCAGGGCAACAGGAAAGGGTACAGGGGAGAAGAACTAACCCCAAATACTGCCTTCCCTGTTCAAATCCCAGAGGAGGGGCCTGAGGAATTGAGTGCCTTCTCGTATGTCTCCAGTATAGCTCAAAGTGCTGTGGTCTTTAACTTTAGTTTTATTTTGGTAAGAACACGTAACAGCCATTCAGTGTACTCACACAGATAATAAACTAGATTATCATCTTTCCCATGGAGAGAAGGCTGCGGAGTGGCTGCAGTTGGAATGACCTGCTTTATGACCGTTGAAGACAAAGGCCAGAGGTCATTTTTTAAAGGTTTTTTAAAAAAAATTTTATCTATTTTTTTCTATAAGTAAGAGAGACCAAGGACAGAGACAATTTCAGCAGGGTCTTCCTTCTGCAATTCTCCTTCCCCCAGCTCCAGCCAGCCCTCGGTCATGGGCACACGCATGCTCTACAGGCTCGGGTCTCTGGAGACAGACTGGAATCCTCCTACATGTGTCCGCCTTCCCCCAGCTCCAGCCAGCCCTCAGTCATGGGCACACGCATGCTCTACAGGCTCGGGTCTCTGGAGACAGACTGGAATCCTCCTACATGTGTCCGCCTTCCCCCAGCTCCAGCCAGCCCTCAGTCATGGGCACACGCATGCTCTACAGGCTCGGGTCTCTGGAGACAGGCTGAAATCCTCCTACATGTGTCTGCCTTGCAGAGACCCATGCTTTCCCCCTGCACTGCCTCTGATGCCCAGGCTCATTTTTTTATAGCCACACACAGTCTCGTGTCCTTGGAACGCTGTCACCTCTGGCGTATTCAAGGGGCTGTTCAGATGGAGGTTTTCAGGGCGTTCTTCTAACCCACTGACTGGCAGTCCTGCCACTCTGAGGTATAAAAGTAGCCACCTCAGCTCTGACCCCTTGAAGCCCGCCTCCCCACACACACCTAATTTTAGGGCAAAGTAGGTTCCCAGCGCGTCACTGATACACAGGCGGAAGGACAGTGGCGTAGCTGAATCGAAGTGAGCCCCCAGTGTTGGGGGTTCTCACAGAGCTGGCTAGAGAAGTGTCCCTGCACAGTCTGCCCCAGGGTAAGTTGTCCCTTCTCTCCTGGAGAGCAGGATGTGAGGACACTCTTGCTCTCTGGGCTCAAAGAGAAGGAGAAGGAGTGAGGAGGGTGGTGTGACCTACTTTTGGGCTCTGCTGAGCCGACCCCTCAACACCTCAAAATACTCTTGCGTGCAGTTTCAGCGGCCCCCTCTCGGGAGCAGATGTGACTTTATGTCCTGGGCTGCGAGGTGGGGGCTCATGGTGACTTGTCGTGACCGTCCCTCATCCCAGCCCATGGATCTCTTAGTTCTCTGCGGCCAGGGCAGACAGTACAGAACGAGCCGTGTCTGAGCTCATTCATGAGAGAGCAAGCCCAGCCCGAGCCCACACGGCAGCACGGCACACAAGTTCCACAGTTAGCCGAGGGAAGCCACTCGTCCTGGGCCACGGTGACCTCGTCTTTCACAGCATTCCTCCTGTGGCAGTTACTTTATTTTTAAAGAAAACATTCTGAGATGTTACCAAGTATTGAGCGATGGGAACAATCTACCGGCTTCACAGGAAACCAAAATTTGAGCTTTTAAGACTTAAAAAAAATAAAAAAGCAATCTTTATCATCATGGTTTTGAAGACACAATGATTGTATTCTGTGCCCTGAAAGGTTTTTTTGTGCACTTGGCTGACTGAGAGGGAAAGACAATGCACCCTTTAAGATGTGCTTATAGAACACTTGCGATTTGATGTCATTTGTGTGCTTTAAATCCCAAAAGCACAGGATTGTGGCTGTGTGCTTTTTTCCTGTTGTGACGCCTGGCACAGGCCCACATTCCTGACAGGAACTTAATGAAGATCACCCGGTCAAGGGAATGTCTTTGGTAGCAATATTTGATGATAGCGCCCAGGTGGTATTCCTGATGGAATATGGACTTCAGGAGATACATGGGATTATGTTTTAAATTCCATCACTGATGAAACTGCTTGGTGACTTTTAAGATAAAATTGATGCCTGACTGATCATATTCTGGGCTTCCTGTTATTTTGCAGGAAACGCCTTCTGTTACAGTCTGTGTTGATCTGGATGATAAGGGAGGAGAACACAGCTCTGGCGACAAAAACACACCCCGTGGCTACAGAATGAGGCCTGGGACAGGTTCATCCCTTCTTGGAATGTGTCCTCAAAAGGGTTTGAGGGAGGATTAGTTGAGATTAGATCCATGCCTCCCTTCCCAGTAGACTTCTCTTCAGCGCCTGGAATGGCCCGCCCTCCGCCCACTTCCTGTCTAATGGCTGTGCTCATGTGCCTCACCCTCCGCCTGTTCCTCAGTGGCTGAGCCCCTCTGTTTGGAGATGAACATTGTAAAGCAGCTGTCATTCAGGGCCACCACAGAAAAAGCTTCTGAACCCCAAGTCATTTCCTCAGGGCCTTTTGAGCCACATTCCCCGCCCCCCCAAAAAAAAGGAGGGGCATATGTTAGACATTTAAACTCTCCACTTCGAGAAGCACAGACTTGAGGGAAAACTAGGTGACTGGGAACAAGCAGTGCAGATGTGAGTGCTCTCCAGAGGCAGGAAGCCTCTGCCCCACCCTCCCCCAGAGGCCTCCCAGTCCACCCAGGAGTTAACATCACAGACAAAAGACAAGCTCATGATTCACTGCTCTCGCCAGGCCCCCAAAACTCTCAGAACGACAATGGGGGCTGAGAAGTGAGTTCTGAGACAGAGGAGCCAGTGGCCTGGGGCGTGGTCAGCTGCCACGGCTGGCACAGGGGCGGCACATGGAACAGAGGTCGGAGAAGGTTCACCTTGCCTAGGTCCCCAGCCCAGGGGCCAAGGTGAGCCCAAGCCTAGGACTGTCTGCCCAGACAGTGCAAACACAAGGTGACCGCTGTGCAGGAGGGGCAGGGGCTGTTCACCCGTCAGAACCTGTAGGGTGTTGGGTTTATGCAGAGGTAACTGAGGCCCCTCTTGTCACAGACAGATAGCCATTCTCATTTGCGGAGCCACTGTACTTGCAAACTGCTCATCCTGTCTATACTCAGGAGTCTCAGACAGAAAACAAACAACATTTACTTAGCCAAGTGTTCATACATTGTTCCTCTAGACAAGGGGCAAAAAATAAGGACTCTGTATGACTCTGAAATGTATTCATACGGATCCATTTGAGATCCTTGAGATGGATCTCCTGGATCTGCTTGGCCAATCTCAAATCTTTTTATTTATTTATTTACTTTGGCTAGAGGACAGGGACGCTCATCAGAGGGAGAGAGAGCAGGAAAGGAGAATGCATCCCCCATGGGGAATGGTCACTCCACAGTCTTCACTCCATCTCCCCTTCATTTTAGGATTTGGGGAACACACACATGTGCCTGGTGTGTTTCTCAACCTGCTGGGTCTGGGACTTGAACCACATGCTCAGCCATGTGAAATCCAGCTGCCTCGACCACTACTCCCATGGAGCTGGTCCATGTGGCCCATCTCAAATGACTTCCTGAATCACCAGCTACAACAGTGGGAGCCAAAGCCACAGGCACAGATGTTGTTGTGGCCAGGAGTCTTATGGTTTATTTTAAAAATAACTTCCTTGCTTTATTCCCATAAGTACCTGAATAGCTAAAAGAAGAGAACTATAATAGATTATATTTGTTTCTAACCCTCTCTCCCTCATCTAGCAAGTATCTCCTCCCAGTTTATAGGGATAAATGTTAGAAAACATAAGCACCTTGATATTAATAGGAAAGTAAGTGCCTCTCCATGGTCGGCCCTTTGCAGGACAGCCCGTGCCAGATCCCATCTCTCTAGTGTCCTCCAGTTTAGCAAAGGCTCCTGGGTACCTGGTTTGCAAGGGGCTCCAGGACTAGGGGAAAGGAATTCAGCAAGATGCATCCACAGCCCTGGGAGCTTGCCAGGAGGGGACAGCCATGGTGTCTCATTCACTGCCTCTTTCTCGAACATACTGTTTAGTCACGGCTTCCTAAATCATCATGTGGTGAATAAAATGATGTTCTTAAGTTAAAAGGTGAATTTGACAGCAATATTGAGCACCACACTCAAATATTCAGTTGTCAGGAAAGTCATGACACCTTTTTGCATAGTCGAACATAGAAACATACATGTGACTTTCGCGACAACCTAATAGAAAGTCTGGCTGGGTAGCTGGTTGGTTGTACCAGAGCCCGCCATCTGCTCACATAAATCAGCTATGTCTCTCCCTTGAATAAATACTCCATGCATTCATTCACCTCCTGGGTCCTCCCTCCTCCAGGCTGAGCGTGCTCAGGGGTGCTCAGTGCTTTCTGCTGATAATGTCTTTGCTGGGGAACCCACTTAAACCTCACTCGGTGAAGGAGCTCGCCAAGTCCGGTGCGGAGGGTCTCAGGGTATCGCTGTGTTCCTCCATGGGCCTGCCAGACCCCGCCCTGCCTGGTGGCACACTTGCTTTTACCTGTCAGTCCTTCCCCGCCAAGGTATAAACAAGTAAAAGATCTGGAAGTTAACCAATGGCAACTTAACGCCAGGTTTTTCCAAGAGGACGCGTAGATCCAGAGATCTGAAGAGAGCAACGCTCCCATGGTGGGCTGCAGGGGAGTGGGCATAGCACCTCAGTGTCCCGGCCCCAAAAGGCATACTTGGGCCACCTTCTCATCTGCCAGAGACTCTGCCCTCGGAGAAATCAGGCTGGTCTGTTTCATCTGAACAAGTAGCTCTTGTCCGAAGCACCTGTGCCAGCTACTGTGGAGCATGGGGACAAAGTCTCCTGCTCAGGGAGGCTGGGACCAGGTCCTCACACAGCCTTAGAAGGGAGTGACAGGTTTGCAGTGTACGGCCCTCACTTTAAACTCCTGGCTATCTGCCGTTCTAATGGAATACCCTAGAACTTACTCTGTTAAAAGTCAGCTTGAAAGTAACCCACGCACGCGAAACCCAGAGACAGCGTGGGAGGCCTGCATGAAGTTAATGATCAGTGTGTTTGCTTCTTGTCTCATGAAGGTCTCCTTGGTGTCCTCGTCCCGGCCGCAGTCCCCAGATCACACGAGTGACACTACTGTCTCCCCCCGGAACTCCGATAGCAGCCTGGCACCCGTGGCTGACTTCAGTTATCCTCCAGAATCCTCTTCCTGCCTGGACAACTCTGCGGCCAAGCACAAGCTCCTGGTGAAGCCCCGCAACCAGCGGTCAAGCAAAATGAGGCGACTGTCATCGGTAACTGGGCTCGCTCCTCCCATGCAGAGGCAGGGTGGGCCGACCTGGCACCTCCTCCCTTCAGCCCCCATACCAGTCACATGCAGGGGCAGGGTGGGCCGACCTGGCACCTCCTCCCCTCAGCCCCCCTACCAGTCACATGCAGGGGCAGGGTGGGCCGACCTGACACCTCCTCCCTCGGTGGCCCCTACCAGTCACAGGGTCTTATGCTCCCTCTGCACACCCCCAGTCCACGACCACGCACAGGAGCTATAGCGGGGCATCCTTTCAGCATAAATCAGATTTGCCTCTCCCTGTGTAAATTCTTCCTTCATTCATTCACTCCACACAGATTTACCAAGAGCCTCCTATGTGTCACACCACCCCCTCCCCACACTGCGTTCAGCATACAGTTCACACTCCAAGCCTGGCACAATCAGGCCCTGCCTAGTGCCCAAATTTCTCTCATCCTTTGCCTCACTCAAGGCTCTGGCCTTGTTTCTGCTTCTTGAGCTCTCCAAGCTGTCTGCAGCCTCAGGCATCAGCATTATTGCCCTTTCCCCTGCCTGAGGCAGTCTTTTGGCTGATTGCTTCTCACCCTTGGGTCTCAGCTCAGCAGTCCCCTCCCAGGATCCTGGCCACACACTTCTTTCATAGCCTTCAACACTCAGAAGCGGCCTTAGTAAATGTGCATGCTCAAGGCTTATTGCCGGTGTTCTCTGAGACCTGTCCCAGCTGGTCTTCAGCCCCGAGCCAGGCTTGTCTAGTCACAGAGCTGGGGTCCTGCAAACAGTCGTTGAATGGACGGATGAATGAACAAAGGAAGAAGTGAATGACAGAAAGAGCTGAGATACTAGAGCGGCCACTACCTTGAGTAAGGGCCTACTTAGTAACCCAGGAACCTTGCCTCTGTAAGGGCAGACCCTCCTTTGAGTATACTGCATGGAGGAATTGTCACCTTGTAGTCACAGAAGCCAAGAGACTTACCCCTGGAAAACATGGGCTTCGTGATAGCAGTGGGTTAGAGGTCTATAGAGGCTTGCTGTCTTCTGTCCTGCCAGGTGGGCCTGTAGCACCTTGTCCCTGCAGGAGGTGAGGAGCCAGGTATGGAGGCCACAGAGAATAACAGTGCTGAGAAAGAGGTGCTCGCAGACTAAGGGCGTTTCTCTCTCTCCTTCCTGCCTGACGTGATTGTGGGGTGTTGACGAAGCACCCAGGACAAGGCAGGTGCTTCAGCTAGAGACGGGCATTAGAGCCACTCAGGATTGCAGGAACTCCCTGGAGAGAGTGAGTTTTCCTCTGAGCATGGGGAAGGTGCTTGTTAAACTCACATGAGCAGGGTTCACTTTGGGAGGACTAATGCTGGCGGGAGAAGCAGAATGAGTCACCTTCAGACCGGCGTGCCTGCTGGGCACCGGAGACTTGTGCTCATGCATGTGCATCTAGCGCATTTACTGTCATTTACATGCTGCAGGGACTTGGGGAGGTCCGGTAACTCTACACCTCCTGTCCTCGTGCTGAGTGGTGCCACTGCCAGGGCCAGGGCCAGGGCCAGCTCCCTTCCCGCCCTCAAGTCTGTGCTTCATTCCCCTGGGGAAATCTCTTGCTCTGGCAAGGGCATGCATAATCAGCCACAGCCTGGCCTGGGCTTGGTGACAGACAGAAGCCCAGCTTGTCCTCCAGATGCAAATGGAGCCTCCCCTGCCACTACCCCCCCCCCCCCGGCCCCCCCCCCCCCCCCCCCCCCCCCCTGGCAGAGCTGTGACCTTTCTTCACTTCAGAATGTAACTTAGTTCTGGAATCCCATTTTGTAGAACAGTTTGCTATAGTCAGTTTGAGTGAACGTGTACACACAGTCATTCTTGACTGAAACTCTGACATTTCCCTATCTCCTCCCCTGCCCCCTGTTCTCCTTTCTTGCTTGGTCTGAAGCAGGCAGAGCTATCTGAGTTCTCAGAGGAGTCCATCTGGCTGGTCACTGTGTCCCTCCATCCACTGTTGGGCCCTAAGTTGGAGGCCTCTGTCCCTCAGTGCCATGGCTCCCCTTGCCTTTGGTCATGTGATCCCTCTTCCCAACCACGAAGACCTTCCTGTGCCCTGCTTCCTCCCACCCCAGGATGAAGGTGCTTTCAAATGCTCTGTACTGCTTCAAAGGTGGGAAGGGCATCCAGGCCACCCCCTCTGTTGCCCTCCTGCTTCTGGGGATTTCTGCAGGGGCTGCTGTCCCCTTGGGCTTCACTAGACAGTGAGGCTCTACTTTGTTCTGCTTTTCTGATCCCCTGTAACATCCGGGGCTTCCTTCTCCATCACTCACTCCCCTGCTCTACCTGGAAGCTTCAGACTCTCCACTTTCCTCTCTCCCTCTCCCTGTCGCTGTCCAGTTCTTTTCTCCACTAAGGAAGATCAGCTCCCTTGGTCTGGCCAGGTGTTCTCCAGCTCTGTCTGCAGTGGGCTAAACTCTCTTCTCCATGTTGTCTAGGCTGAGTCTTCTGGATTTCTAAGAAAAAAGAAAAAGGCTCTTATCATAAAACTCCCCTCTCATGAGATAAAATCTTTGGCTGTCAGGACTGCGATATTTATCACAAAGTTCAGAAATACATTCAGGAGTATATTTGACTGAATCCCTCTGCTCCCCACCAAAGCAGAGGTTGGGAGCAAAAAACCCAGGCAAGGCCAACCCCTGTTGTTAGCTTTGCATCTTAGCCAGCTCACAGAACTGTGTTGTGTGTGTGCCCATACGCAGTAGAAGCAGAACACCAGAATCGTTCCCACGCACGTTACCCTGCACCAGTTGGTCCTCATCCTTACCCGGGCAGTAACCAGGAGCAGAGAATACTAACTCTGTTTTTGTTTTTTTTTGTTTTTTTTGTTGTTGTTGTTCCTAAGAGGTCACTGTTCCCTTCTGCCTAAGGGCACATGCACTCACCGGAGAGAGAGAGACAGTGATAATGAGAGGGAAAGTGAGAAACCACCCCTGTAGAGAGGATGACCACACCACAATCCCTTCTCCATTCTCCTCCTGGGATCTTGGGCACACACACACATGCACCAAGTGTGACTTTCAGGACACCAGGTCCAGGACTCAAGCCACAGTCAGCCACATGGGAGTCCAATGACATAACTGCTATGTCATCTGCTGGCCTCACTAGGTCCATTTTAATAGCAGAAAAACAAGGTGACTTGCTCAGGGTCTCATGGCTGGCAGAGCGGCAAGTGTAAGACAGACCCCGCTGCCTCCTCTCCACCCTGGGCAGTGAGCATCCTCTGACCAGAGTGATGTGGACACCTCTGCAAGGAACCATCATTCTCACGAGATGAGGCAGCTGCTAAGGGGACATCCCTGAGGATGGGGCATGGGAAACTGGTTAAGGCAGCACCGGGGCATCTCCACCACAGTGCAGGCTGAGCTGCGAGTTCCCCATTGCCACTTCCTTGGGAGGCTTCCCAGAGTCACTGTGAGGAAGAGCAGGCATAAAGCACCTAGGTGGCCGGACCTGGGACCCCTTCCTACGCACCTGCCAGACAGCCTGGGCCGAGTCAGAAGCAGCTCTGTCCCCTCAGAACCTTTACACGACTCCAAGTCCCCCTCGGGGTTCCATTCTCCATGCCATCTTCGTCCTGCCAGGCCCCTCCAGGGCTGCCTCTTTATAGCTGGGAGGCGCACAAGCCAGACCTACTTCCCAGCTTCCCGTGGCTTACCATGGGTTCCGTGACTGTGGTTTCAGAACATGACCCATAGCCTAAAGAGGTTTCAGCATCAGCAGTTTCCTGTAGTAGCAAAAGGCCAGCGGCACGACAACGGCAAAAACCTGCAGCTTTGGAAAATTCTGTAGGCTTCTGCGTGCATCTTCCTCTTTTTCAGTCCCTCGGGAGGAGATTGTGCATTTCGGAAGGCGTTAACTCTGGTGTGGTCGCAAATGTCCCTGTCATCCTGTGTTCTGGTAGTAAGCAGATGACAGCTAGGAAATGTTAAACGAGCAAACAACAATGACTGCAGACACTCCCTGAGAGTCCCCTTTCCTCTCTCAGAAAAAGCAAGGAGAGAGCTGTGTTTTGCAGCAGCCTGGGTGACCTCCAGGTCTCATGTCTTGAATTAAAAAAAAAAAAAAAATCAGCCTCAATATCCTCAACCTTTTGGTCATTTTTGTATATTACTTTAAAAAAATTATTTTTAATTAAACTTTATTTATTTTAATTTGACCAGAGAGGGACAGAGCATGAGAGAGACATGAGAGAGAGAGAGAGAGAGAAAGTGAGAAAGCAAGCCCCTAGGTCCCAGGCTCCCACCACAGCCGGCTCTGTGGGAGTGCAGCGCCTTTAACCACCACGCCACCTGCTGGCCCCTTGCATATTACTTTTGAATGATTCGGGGTTACCTTGCTCTCCTTTCCTTCCTGACAGAGCAGGAACTGACTTGGTGACAATAGGGAAGAAGCTGGACTAGAATCTGAGTTCAGGGCCTTTCAGGAAATGAGAGCTTGCCATATTTTTGTCGGGAGGCACAGAGGGAAGAGTCTTAGTTGCAGGGAACAGACCAGACTGCCTACAGGAGACAGTTGGAAGCGGTTTCCCCGGGGCATTGGTCGAGGTTCCTGAAGTAGGGGACTTCGGGAGGGAGTAGCTCGTCACCCAGCCCCTGCATCTGACAGAGCGGTGGGGGCTTGCTTAGGCCTGTATAGGGAGAGAGAAACAAGTCGAGACCAGAGAATGAGGGGACTGCAAATTCAGCTGAAGATTGGTTACAGCCTGTAAGCTGTGGTTCGCTCTTGGCCATGCTTGACCTGATCGGGAATGTTTTTCCAGAAACCCAGCCTGGCTTCGCTGTGAGGGGGCATCCCTGAGGATGGGACATGGGAGACCGGCTCAGAGCAGCACAGGGCCATAGACACAGGGCCACTGTCCAGGCGGGCCACCTGTCAGCTCAGCCTTCACCGTGGGATCCACATCTCTGAGCTCTTGGCCCTCTGAGTGCACAAAGGGAATGATAATCCCTTCCTCGCTGGGCTGAGTGGAGGACGACCAGAAGTGAAACGTGGAGAGAGCAGAGTGTGACAGCCAGACCCCTTCCTGTGCCTCTCTCTCTCTGGAGCAGCGTCCACTGATTATGAAGCTCGGCCAAATGAGCTTCAGGTGGCATGTATTTTGCAGGTGTAGCCACCTCTGTGCTCGTGAGCCATGATTCGGGGGAGACCAGGACAGGAGGGATGGAGTGAAAGACACCTGGGTGTGAATTGCCACTTAAATGCCAGCTTTGGAGACCTCCTGCTTTCTCTAAGTCATACTAAGCCATGAGGAAGAGGGGAAGTCACAGCTCCCTAGCGTTTGCGGTGGTGACGGTGTCTTTCCTCTTTGCTTCTTCTAGCGTGCACAGTCAGAATCCCTGAGCGATCTGACGTGCACCCCAGAGGAGGAGGAATACGACGAGAAGCCATTATCCAAAGTCAACCCAGAAGCAAGCCCCAGTGCTGCGCCGCAGCAGGACGTGGTGCTGGACCGAGGCTCGGAGCCCGCAGTGCCAGCCCCCGTGCTGCACCCTGGGAGGCCCCGTGCCCGGCGCGCCCCGCTGCAGCACTGCCCGGCGCTCAGTGCCAGCGTTGAGGACGGGAGCTTCCTTGGAGATGACTCCCCAAGCCTCCCGGTCACCCCAGAGGTCACTGAGCCCGTGTCAGTCCCAGCCCCCTGCTTGGAGTCCCCATCTCGGCCTGAAAGCCCCCCACATACCGGTCCGGACAGCAAGAACCAAGAGGAGCAGCCGTCCACCCCAGGCGTGTGTCCTCAGGTGCCCACGGACACAGCTGACGAGGTGATTTGTGCTCCTGGAGACCTCGGAAGTCCATTAGCTACCCCCGTCCTGGAGGAGGACACGACACCATCTGAGACTGTCACCCACACCCCCGTGGAGACGCCCCCCAATGCAGAGGGGCCAGACCAAGATGTCCAGAAGGAAGAGTTGTCGCTGGAAGTGCCAGAGCCCCTAGGAGCAGGGAAAGAACCATCCACGGCCCCTGCCCCGAGCCCGAGCCCGCCGGGCCCCAAGAGCTGCCTGGCG